CTTTTGCAAAGCTAGAATGTTTTTTTTTTAAATTCCCCCCTTGTGAGTAGCTTAAACCACACTGTCCCTCATGTTCCTTTTCCTGGAAGAGAAGTCTGAGAGTTGTGGATTCACCACAAAACCTCAAAGCACTAACCAAGTTTTGCTGTTAGGTTTTTCACAGCAGTTCTGAAATTAAAGTATCAAAACCCAGTTGTGCAAAAAATACTGATTTAATTTTTTTTTTTCCTGCTGTTCTGTGATGTTTGTTCTGTTCATTTTCTTTAGGGTCGTGGGCAAGACTGTATCTATATAGGTTCTTTTAATTAAAAAAAAACCTCTTAAGTGGATCAAATGGGTGCAGAACCAGTCGAGTTCTGCATGGAGGTGCATGGGTCAGTTGTAGTTGAGACTGGCACTGGATGTGTGCCAATTCCCCTCCAGCAGCAGAAGGTCCTTGTCGGTCGATGCTGTTTGGTTTTTTCTCTTGTCCTTGCCCTGCATGGCAGAAGGGCCATTTCCAAGGTAAGGTGGCTGAAGGAGGCTGCGTATCTCTGGACATTCGGAGGAAGATTTCCTGTCACGCCGCTGGAAACAGCTACAAGGAAAACCTCTCGGGTGAGCCGATTTAAAAAACTCTCCCAGTGCTTCCTGATGGCTGGAATTTACATCCCAAAGCGCTTCCTGGTGTGCCGCTGAGTGAGTGATAACTTGGGAAGTCCTCTGTGAGCATCACTTTCGTTGACGAAGTTTTATGGTTTTTCTAAATCAGAGATGGTAGATCCCAGTGAGCTGTAGGAGGATATATTGTAAGGGCCTGGCAAGTCCTAAATCCTTCAGTATTAAGCTCACTTCGGGATTCCTCTTAAATGAAGGGGTTTTTGAGATGCTGGTGTCAAAAAGCTGTGAGACAGCAACAGTGAAAAGCTGTTTTTAGTAGCCACGTCCAGTCATTTATACAAACATAATGTACTTTGTTTGCATACACGGGAATCTGCATGCACCAGCTCCCATTCCTGCTTGTAAAACTCCAAGTTACTAAAAGAGTGGAGAAAAAAAAAATCTTTATTTGAAAAGAAAGCATTTAATAATTGAAATATTCACTAGGCTAATCAACACATTTGATAAGTAGTATATATTTTTGGAAAATTTGTAACAGTTGCTGCTCTTAAGCCTGTTGTTTTCCTCAGCGTTTTGCTTTCCCCTGCATCAGGGAAAAACAACACTTTAAATCTGTGCCAGTACATAAAGCCAGAATAATTTGGTCCTTTTTGTTAGTTTTTTTTTTTTATTATTTCATATTCTGCTCTAAATTCAGGATTAAATATTTTCTAGTAAGGAGATAATGAAAATTAATGTGACTGCTGTGGTGAGAGGGCAGCAAACCTGAGTTCCCACAGGGAATTGGGTGGGCACGGTGACTGATACTCAGAGCTTCACTGACTTTTCACTGAAGTTAGGTGAACAGCTGGGAAGAGCCACCTGAGTTCATATCTGCATTCTGACCACGAGATGTGATTGCAACCCCTGTGACTGGTGCTTAAAAAGCAGAAAGGTAATAAAATATCCTTTTGTTCAGCCCTTTAGTAGGCGTTTTTCCCAGCTGAGTGGTCATGAGGGAGAACAGGATCCCTTTGGGCAGCTGTGGACATCAATAGGAGCAACATGTCCATGAGGGAGACTTTTCCTTTCTGGCTCACTGGCTGCTGAGGTTGGCTGGCACCACAAGCGCCAGCCACAACTGGGGTTCTTACACTCTCTGCTCAGAGCACTGGTGGATCCAGCTGTCTCTGGTATTTCCAAAGGGATGTGTCAACAAGGTATGGGTGGGCACCCCCAGCTGAGAAGTTTGGACAGCTGCAGAGGAGCCTGGCAGTAGCTCCTCCTTAGGGTAAGGATTGCCCAAAGCTTGGAATTCTCAGAGGCCAGGAGCTGAAGCAAAGCCCAAGGCAGAGAAGTCATCAAGACCCTTGACCCTTTCCATGTCCTTTGTCACTATGTTCTCTGGTTAATCCACAGCTCCCTTTCCCTCCTCCTCCTTCCTTCTACCATCCATAGAAGCCCTTCTTGACTCTTCTGGTGATGAGAAATGAACCTGCGTGTTGGTGGTGGGTTTTGTTGTTATTGTCTCATCAACATCTGTTTTCCTTGGCATCTCAGTTAAAAAAGCTAATTTTGCTGAGTTGGAGCAGCTGCCACTTGCCACCACAGTAAATTAAGCTTTCAGAAGACCTCATCTTTGGAATTACAGTTCTGATCATAATGTGGATTTTAATAGTCAATTGAGATGCTTATTAAATTATAAGACTCTGCATTAGAAATGTTCCTGTGCTGCTGGAGGAATCTCAATCGTTTAGTTTTTATTAGTTTTGTGATTTAATGAACAGAAAACATTAAAACAAAAAGCCAAATGCAAACCATCTGTATAAAAATATTCTATGAAATTCAGGAAACTGACAGACATGGCTATAAAAGTACTTTACAAAGACACAGCCTCTTAAATGCCATCCATTTTAATACAATGATTAATGCCACCATCAGTTTCCTCAACAAAGAAAATTTCTCCCTTGTTTCTTTTCCTGGGTTCATGAGATTCAGCTTGTATTTCAGTGATGCTTATCAATGGATTTGAAAATTATTCACTCTGGACTGTTTAGATACAAAGGATGGGGGTTTTTTTAGGTGTCCACACACTTCAAATTCTAGGGGGTGTGGCTACACCACAAGCAGCTACACCACTGCGTGGTGCTCACAGAGGCCGAGATCGATCTTTTGTTGTGTTAAAGTTCGATCCATCAGCAGGAGGGTACAAATGCAGGGCAATGCCCTCAGCCACCCGCTGCTCCTGCCAAGGTGGGTGAGGTGTTCTGGATTCTTTGGTGTGTGATAAAATACAACAGGGCAGTCCAGTGACACGGGAATCGCTGGTATCAAGATTGCCAGAGAGGTTGTATGTAAAAGGAATAAGGGTATTTAATGCACAGAGGTATTAGGCTTTTTTTTTTTTTT